TTTTCTCTCTCTTCTTTCTTTCTTTTCTTTCTTTCTTTTCTCTCTCTCTTCTTTCTTTCTTCTCTCTCTCTTCTTTCTTTCTCTTCTCTTTCTTTTCTTTCTTTTCTCTCTCTCTCTCTTCTTTCTTTCTTTTCTCTCTCTCTCTCTCTTCTTTCTTTCTTTTCTCTCTCTCTCTCTCTTCTTTCTTTCTTTTCTCTCTCTCTCTCTCTTCTTTCTTTCTTTTCTCTCTCTCTCTCTTCTTTCTTTCTTTTCTCTCTCTCTCTCTCTTCTTTCTTTCTTTTCTCTCTCTCTCTCTCTTCTTTCTTTCTTTTCTCTCTCTCTCTCTCTTCTTTCTTTCTTTTCTCTCTCTCTCATCTCTGCTAGATGCAACCATCTGTTTTATTCTAATCATTTCTCTTCTCACCTTTGGGACACCTTTCTGATTTCTTTCTTCCCTGCAAACTACAATCTTCAAAAATTTAAATGCAATGCCAATTGCCATCTTGTCTTCCTGAATCTCATTCTTTTATTGTCTTTTCTCCTCACAAAAGTCTTCTCCATCTCTTTCACCCATGTGTCCTAGTGGTATTATTACCTTGCTTGGGGTGAAATGATTAAAAAAAAAAAAAAATCAACAAACACATTTGGAAAGCATTCATAAACCAACATAATAAATCTAAACCTTTTATCTCTGACTTCATCTCACTCATTCACTTTGTCCATCAATCTATATTTCTCTTCCTTTCATATGGATATTTACTCGACCCCCCCCCAACTAAATCAGGTTGTGACACAAGGTCAGTTTGTAATGTGGGTACCCAACTGTCTTCACTTGGGCCAGCTGGTCTTAGCTGGTCCGAGCTAGTCATAGCTGGTCCAAACTGGTCATAGCCAGTCCAAGTTAGTCATAGCCGTGATACCTGGCACAGGGACGGAGCCCTGTTTCATATGTAACCATATTCATTTTTATTCACTTAAATGATCTTCATTAATGACACCTGTGTGGCTGATGAGGAATTCTCAAGTAAATATCCCTAGCATCTGATATTCTGCAGTAAAAATCTTATTTTTATTATTAATAGCAAAAAAAGTAAACTTTATTATATATTGGTCATATCTGAAAGAATAGTTACAGGATACAACACTATTCAGTCATAATAAAATTTTTTAAAATTCTAAAATTGAGACAATATTTGAAATAACAACTTTAATCTACAGTGTATGTCTTATAATAACAAGTATCTGCTCATGATATGGGGAAAAAATCTTTTAGAATCTGGGTACAAGAAATATCCACCCCACTATTTTTTGTTTGTACTTGTAATAGCCTTTGATTTGCAATGTTTTTTATTTCTTTGTTTTTTTCCTTCCAGAATCTTCTCCCAAATTGCATCAGTTGAATACTCTAATAAATGGTTATCTTCTAACCATAATCATTTTCTTTCAGCTTTCTAAGATAAATGCAAATCTTTACACTATTTATATTTGGTCTATTGTCCTCATCTTTGTTGTTGTTATCACAGTGTTTTGGCCATTGTGTCTTCTTACTTTCCTCAGGTGTATATCAATCCTGGGTAACCTACAAGGAATTCCTAACTTAACCCTTTATTTAATCTGTCCTGGCTATGACAATAAACTACATCCGCTTCCTGGGTAAAACGATAAACTACGTCCAGCAGCAAGGCCTCTGATCAGGAAGTTTTGAAAAGTGTGTAATCACCTCTTAATTGCTTAATAGTTCCCAGGTTCACACTGACTCAGGGTGGTAGCACCTGTTAGGGTCCCAGCTATGGGCAAATAGTTGACCCCACAACCTGACTCAAAACACTATGAAATTGTAAAAATAGATTTTAATGCTAGAAATACTTTAAAAAAAAAATTAGTATCTGCAATAAATATTTGAAAAAAGAAAATATTACCAGAATTAAAAATCTTGTCAGTATTAAATAACCCATTGAGGTTAATATGCCACAAAACAAAACAAACCAAACTATACATTTTTTTAAAAATATTACCAGCTATACATTTTTGAAAAAAAAAAAAAGGAAATTTTGTCGGCATTAAATAACCCATTGTGGTTGATATGCTGTAAAACAAACCAAACCTTTATTTAATCCCCCCACCAGGTGGACTGTTCATGTCTAGGGTTATCTTGTCTAGTTCTTATGTTATTTAGCATTGTTCCCTTATTGCTTGCCCATTTTCACTGAGTGCAAGTACACACTGCCTGACCGAGGGATTGAATTCTCACCCACTGTCACCAAATCCCCAAACCAATGCTTTTATCCGCACAACCATTGGCAGTGTGTAGTTGCACTCAGTGGAAACGAGCAAGTAATAACTGAACAGTATGAAATGAAATAAGAATTAAATATTAATATCCCTAGACATGAACAGTGGAACAAGAACAGTCTACCTGCGGATATTAAATAAAGGGCTCAGTTCATCATTCCCTGTAAGTTACCCAGAGGAAGGATAGAGAGTATAATGTCCGAAACGTTGTGATAAAAACAACAAAGATGAAGACAATAGTCCAAACATAAATAGTGTAAATAACTCCTCATCCCAGAAATTAAGACAAAAATGAAAATATGCATTTTTAAAGCAAATAATATTGATTTTACACATTTTAAAGCTTTAAATTGTTCTCTCTACACCCCACCAAATCCTTATACATGCAGATCAAAATAAATAGAAACCTTGAAACCTTTCTTACCTAAAGGATTAATGAATATTATTTGACTTAAAATTTGGATTTTCATGTATTGAACTTAGTAAATCTACTTTTGTAGAATATTCAATCAGTGGCTCATTTCCTTCCTGGGTAAGACAATAAACTACATCCAACAGCAAGGTCTCTGATCAAGAAGTTTTAAGGAGTGTGGTAGCACCTGTTAAGGTTCCAGCTATAGGAAAATAGTTAACACTTAAACTGGGGTTAAAATACTATGAAAGTGTAAAAATAGGTTTTAGTACCAGAAATACATTTTTGTAAAAAAAATAAACAGAAATACATTACCAGTAAAAAAAAAAAAAAAATTTTCAAGAAATAAAATATTACCAGCTATACATTTTTTTTGAAAAAAGTATTGACAGCAATAGATTTTTGAAGGAAAAAATATTACCAGCAATAAATTTTTGGAAAAAAAAAAATTACAAGCAATAAAAAATTTTGTCGGCATTAAATAACCCACTGAGGTTGATATGCCATAAAACAAACAAAACCAGTGGCTCATTTAAAGTCTGAGCTCTTTTCAAAGATTTTAAAAATATTTTCTTACTTTCATTATTTCATTATGGTCAGAGACAAATTTGACCATGTGAGTCATTTAATAGTGCTTCAAACTTACTGGCCTCCATTTTTATTCTTCCCTGTACCAATCCTCATTGAAAAGAATGTCGTCATCATCCGTTGTTGTATAGCCATCAGTAAATATTGGGCAAGTATGTTTGTACAGTAAGACTACTCACAAGTGGAACTTTGAATTTTGTTGTGATTTGCCACTGTATTATTTTATTGCTGCACTGGCCCCGACATATTTTAGAATTTGAATCTGAGAATTCCTTTGCTTTTCAACTACACAAAGTAAATGAGTGTGTAGTTATTTCTTTGTAGCAGGCAGAATGAGTATATTTTTATCAAATTGAGTAAAATAATGCCATCTATTTATATCAGTCTGTAGGCACACATATATATATATATATATATATATATATATATATATATATATATATATCAAGAGTAGAAATAAACTTTTTTTAAACTAATTCAGTAAAATAACAGATTTAATTATGTGTGAGATATGTGTAACTGGTCCCAGAAATATCTTTCCAAAACTATAATATATATATATATATATATATATAGTTTTGAAAAAGATATTTCTGGGACCAGTGCACGCATATCTCTCACACAAATAAATCCTGCTTGTTAGTAGCAGTGAACTACAGGAATGAATGACTTTTTGAAGAAAATGAATTTTATCTGTAGTTTTCATTTTTTTTTTTTTTTTTATCATTAATTTTATACACCCAACACCATTTTCTTTAAAATTGCAAAGTTTGTTGATATAAGGTACTGTTATAATGTAGTACATGTAACTCTGAGAGAAAATGACATAATCGAGATGTTGACATTACACACTACTTCAAACAAAAGGTTAGGAAGGAAACCTCCAATACCGAATAAAATTGAGAAATGTATTTTCCTGGAAACTTCTTTTCAGAGAAAGATATTATAAATTTAAATCAACAATAGCACTGGCTTGTCAATCAATGAATGTGGAAGATTTCCTTATAAGTAATTGTCTAATATTACCATTACTATAGAAATTTACATTTAATATATTACTATAGAAATTTCATTTAATATTACCATTACTATATAACCATTTATTTTACATCTAATATTACCATTACTATAGAAATTTACATTTAATATTTACCATTACTATAGAAATTTACATTTAATATTACCATTACTATAGAAATTTACATCGATATTACCATTACTATAGAAATTTACATTTAATATTACCATTACTATAGAAATTTACATTTAATATTACCATTACTATAGAAATTTACATCGAATATTACCATTACTATAGAAATTTACATCTAATATTACCATTACTATAGTTTAAAAGAAAGAATATAGAAATTTTTAATATTACCATTACTATAGTTTAAAAGAAAGAATTAGATTTTGCTTAATGTTTAGAGACCCACAAAAGGTGCTTTTTTTTTTTCTTTATCTTTCATACATATTAGTATTATTAAGTAGTCTGTTTTTAATCTCATAAAAAGATTCTATTTTAAGTTGTCCTCTGGTTACAAGCCAGAAATATTCCCCACCCCCCCGATCATCAGGCTCATTTATAATTGTTACATGCAGGTAAGAGTACAGAACCTGAAAGCCATGAATAAAATAAAAATACCAGAGGAAAAAATATTGTCAAACCAACATTTTTTTTTTTTTTTTTTTCCTAATTAATAATTGAATTTTATTTTCTTGACAGGGAGACTTGATCCTACAGAGTGATTACTTAATTGAAGCTTTAACAAAAATTGTCATTGCAAGCAATAAAAGTGATTTGATAACAATTGCTGATGGAGACAGGTCTTTTTTTTCTTTTGTAAATATTGTTTTTCAAAGATTTTAATTTCAAGATGTTTGCTTCTTTTTTTTTTTTTTTCTTTCGAACATGCAATTTTTTTCTTTTTCTTTTTTTCTTCTTTTCTTTCTTTTTTCTTTTTTTTTTTTTTTTTTTTTTTTTTTTCTTTTTTTTTCTTCTTCTTTTTTTTTCTTTTTTTTTTTTTTTTTTTTTTTTTTTCTTTTTTTTACTTCTTTTTTTTTCTTTTTTTTTTTTTCTTTCTTCTTCTTTTTTTTTTTCTTTTTTCTTTCTTCTTCTTTTCTTTTTTTTTTTTTTTTCTTTTTTTTTTTCTTTTTTTCTTTCTTCTTTTCTTCTTTTTTTCTTCTTCTTCTTCTTTCTTTTTCTTCTTCTTTTTTTCTTTCTTCTTCTTCTTTTTTTTCTTTTTCTTTTCTTTTTTTTCTTTCTTCTTTTTTTCTTTTTCTTTTTCTTTTCTTTTTCTTTCTTTTCTTTTTTTCTTCTTCTTTTTTTTTCTTTTCTTTTTTTCTTTCTTCTTCTTCTTTCTTTTTTCTTCTTTTTTTTTTCTTCTTTTTTCTTTCTTCGTTTTTTTTCTTCTTTCTTCTTTTTTTTCTTTCTTCTTCTTTTTTTTTTCTTTTTTTTTTCTTTTTTCTTTTTTCTTTTTTCTTCTTTTCTTTTTTCTTTTTTTTTTCTTCTTCTTTTCTTTTTCTTTTCTTTCTTTTCTTTTTCTTTCTTCTTCTTCTTCTTTTCTTTTTTCTTCTTCTTCTTTCTTTCTTCTAATCTGTGAAAAGTGACAAATAACTTACACTCTCAGTCAAGTAGAAATTCTGAAGTAGATGTTGGTGAATAGTAAATAAATCAATGCAAAATATTAAATAGGTTCAATGTTTTTTTTTTTTTTTTTTTTTTTAATTAGTAAAGTAAGCAATGATAAAATGCAACTCTGAAATTTTTTTCCTGAATTATTGAACCTTTTTATTTGACAGCAAATGATTTGACTTTGATGCAGAAAAAAATGTTATTTAATAAGCTTGTTCTGCATGTTACCCGTTACAGAATCTCTTGTTTTGCCTGACTAAATTTAATTATCTCTTCATGAATCACTAATATTATGTTGGAAAGAAAATCCTGTCACATTCGACGAGGGAAAAGAAATGTTCTTCCTTGGTCTTTAATTGATAGATTTATTCAATGATATTTCTTCTCACTTTTATAAGTTTCATCTGTGACAAATTGTTGATCCCTTGTTTGTAAAAATCTTAAGATTTTAATGTAAAGTAACATAAGTTTTAAACTCTTCACAAACTGTTTTCTCTTTCACCCGCCTAAAATGTTGCTCAGATCTGAAAGCTTTGTAGTCAGATGGGACAATGAGTGAGGATGAGAAAAAAAAAATTTATTTACTGCCATAATCTTATCATGCATGATTCGAGCCGTACGTGCCTTCCTATTATTGAGGGAAAGCAATACACCTTTACATTAATGGGTGCTTTCTCTGAAAATTTGTGTGCTTCTGATTGAGAGCAATAATTCTTAACATTAACGGTTTCATTTTGGTTTAGCACTTTGTGATAGACAACACTTTTCATATCCTGCTAAATGGAGCAAAACCTTTTTTTCCGATGTAGTCCCGTATTGAGGATAGATTCTCTCTTTTCTCAGTGTGTACTAACCACTGTCATTTCCAATGGATGTTATTATAAAAAAAAAAACAACTTTTTATCCCTGGTGATGATTCTATTCAGGGAATGATTTTGTAGAAAATCAACTCTTCAGTGATGCGTATTCGTCAACTTTTTGATTAAGCTGAAAAGCAGTCCATTGACCAAGTTTACCAGATGACCAGTCCATTGACCAAGTTTACCAGATGACCAGTCCATTGACCAAGTTTACTTTTTCAAATTTATGAAAGCATTTTATGATCAAAATATGATTTGTACTGAACTGTTTTACCCATGTGATATGTAGTTTACTTAGGTTTTCTTTTTTTTTTTTTTAATTTTATTTTTCAACTACAGTTTGCAGAAGCTCAATATGGACAGAACTTGGTTTTTCAAATCAAGAGGAATATGAGATGGGAAAACATCCAAACAATCTCTAACCTTCATGCCTACAAAAAAAATCTTTATTTCTATTTGTCTCTCTTTTTAGAATTAACTGATTTACTTTAATCCCCATTAAACCATCTTGTTGTCATTTAAGACAATGTCACTCAGTTATCTTAATGAGACTACAAAACTTTCTTTTTCATCTATCATCAATAACCTTATATGACGAGCTGACATTCTTGCAAATAAAAAGGAAATGAGTCATACCACATCCCCAATATCAATAGAAGTACATCTCCCTCCCCTCTCTTCAATAGCCATTGGTACTGTGCATAGATGTTGCCATACTTGAATACTAAGGTACAGATTTCTCCCCATCCCTGGTGTGATGATAAACTATATATGCGTTCTGGGTAAAATGACAAACTACATCTGACAGCAAAGCCTCTGATCAGGAGGTTTTGAGGAGTGTGGAACCACCTCTTAATTGTTGGTGTTCCCAGGTCCACCATAACCTGGAGTGGCAGCACCTGTCAGGGTCCCAGCTATAAAATAGTTAAAAAAAACCCAAAGGGGTCAAAACACTATGAAAGTATAAAAATAGGTTTTAATAGCAACAATACTTTTTGGAAAAAAATATTTCCAGCAATACACTTTTGGAAAACAAAATATATTTCCAGTAATAAAAAATCTTGCTGGCATTAAATAACCCATTGAGGTTGATATGCCGTAAAACAAAACAAAATGTCCTGATCTGAGCGACATGTATTAACCCTAGAACACTAACCATGGGTATATAGTACCCAGTGCAAATTTTCCTATTTTTAATTACAATTTTCATTACCTGATTTTCTTACCTAAATAATGTTTTTCAGTTCCTATTAATGTTAACTCAAAGTACAAAGTTTGAAGTGCCTGCATGTAAAATATTTCAAATAAAGATTTATATGTAATATTTTTTGATATTTTCAAAATCGGGTATGATATACCCATGGTTAGTAGTGGTGTAACTTTAATTGATGGTTAGTGTTCTAGGGTTAAAATACCATTTCAAGCAAAGAGATATAGACACTCCTCTCCCGCTTTTGAGGAATGGCCTTGATTATCTGGTGCTGTCTATGTACAATTTCATTACTTTATGGTTGATATCCAACTCTCAAAAAAAAAACAAAAAAACAAAGCATTTCTTTCAATGATTTTCAATGGGAAGTGGCCCTATTTTCCATTAGATTCATTAAGTCCTTCTCCAAAAGTTGTCCAGTTCAACTCCTTAACAATTTCAACTCTAGTCTCTACCCTTATTGCCTTCTACATGGCAACTTTTGTACTAAATATTGAAAGATAGAACTGCTAATAATGCATCAAATCAGCAGCCAATTTTTCAGTTGTCACCATTTGGCACAGTCAATTAAAATCCTGACACCCCCCACCACCACCACCACCAACCATCCTCCTTAGTTACATTAGAGTTAACTTTTGTGACCAGAAATAGACCTATACACCCAACCAAATGAAGCCTGTTATGCAATTTTCTTAGATCTATATCTCCCAAACTGTAGCCACTCTTCTCTGAAACATCTGGTATTCTCAACCATGTTTTCCACACCCTCTTAAGAACATTCAACTTATTTTTCTTAGCAATACAAACATTATATGCAGTCTTGCATTAAATCTTTTAATTAGCTCTAGAATTCCTGTATGTTGTTTAATGCCTAACTATCACTTTGGCTTGAAATCTCTTTTGGGTGGTAATCACCATTTTTAATTTTCCAAGCATGGTAACCAAATGAGATCAAATTTTGATAATATGCAATCACCACTCCACTTTAAACCCAAATTATTTCCTTCAATATTGCATCCAATTTGGATATATTAATATGGTCACTAACTTCCATTGTTCTCTTAACACTTACACACAGTCAAAATCCATAAAGCCATAGATCAGTGGCCTACCAGTCTTCTGCAAATAGAGCAGTTTCTGTTTACCCTAATTTTCTTTCAGTTCTAGGCTTTTACAGGTATACCTCACCCTACATCATTAATTGGTACCAAAGGTCATGACATAGGTTGAAATAACCACACTATAAACCGCAAATAAACACTCCCCATTGCCTATTACAGTATTTATATGTATGTAGAGTATTCTGAATAAAATAATTAATTTCCACCTTATCTTCCAGCAATATAGCTTTACACTTAGCATTAGCACTTGCACTGGGACTTTTCTTTGGAGCCATTGGCAAAAATGTAATCTAAATCACAATTGAAATGTAATTGAAAGAACATCAATGGCAGAGCACAGATGTAAACAATTCTGAATTCAAAATCGGTGCTGGAGTGGAAAAAAAATGAATAAGTACAACCTATCAGCAGGAATTTGAAATATGAACATCTGCTGAACATACTTTATGAAATGGACAAAGTCCGACAATTATTTTTTAAGATATTTTTTATGTTTATACGTTCTTTTTATAGATACAAATATTTAAGTAAATGCTCTGTTTATAATGCTTAAATATTTGTATCTATAAAAAGAACATATAAACATAAAAAATGTCTAAAAAATATTTTATTATACTAATTGTTTTTGATGATTCTGTGATATATATACATATAGTATACATATTATTTTTAAATTTATTTGAATATAATTTTATGTGTCTATTGTTATTTTAGTGTTTTGACGTTTCTAATATTTTTAATGACTGATGTAAACACTAGTAAAACGACTAAAGGCGAGCTTTATTTTTCCATATAATATTTAAGAAAAACCAATGTATCTTCAAAAATAACTTGAAATGACTTAAGTGGAGGTATAACTGTATTTCTCCTTAAAAAAAAAAAAAAACAATTTGCTCAACTTCAATTTAAGCCTGAAGGTTTCTTTTCCTTCAAAGAGTAACAGCAAATTTTGCATTTAACCTGAATGTTTTTAAATTATGTGTTATTGCCTTTATTTTGTCCAAAATATGATGCATTTAAGAGTTACATTTACATTATTCAGACTATTGTCCTCATCTTTGTTGCCATATTTATTACAACATTTTGGCTGTTGTATGCTCCAGCCTTCTTCAGGTGGTTGGAATGTCGAACTTAACCTTTTATTTCACTCACTTTATTTCGACATTCCAACCACCTGAAGGAGGCCAGAGCGTACAATGGCTGAAACATTGTAATAAATATGGCAACAAAGATGAGGACAATAGTCCAAATAATGTACATAATACCCCATCTCAAAAATATAGACAGATATTTAAGAGTTAGTTGGCCCCTTTTCCCTCTGTTTGCTTTTCCCAATTCTTTATCTTGATGTTGGTTACCATGATTTCTGGTATAGAATTTTGTACAAATCTTAATCCAGTTAAACAATTTTTCTACCTTTTGTAAATCACCACCTGGTATTTCCACAATGCCTCTCATATGAAGAGTAGGTTGACTGATTTCAAGTCCATGATTATCGAACCCCTGTCACTTGTCCCCATTCTTGTATTCATGCTCTGCATACAAGTTGCAATCTCCTCCTGTTCAGTTCCCAAAAATCCAATACTGACCACACCTTAATGTTTTTGTCACCTGGACTGACATTCACGGCAACACTCTTTCTACATTCTCACCCCAGATAATGCCTTGGTACAGACTGCAGCAGTAAAAATAGGAAAAGTTTTTCTTAAAATGATATTTTTCATGTTTTTTTTTTTTTTTTGTTTTTTTTGTCGGATGCTTTTTGTGAGGAATTTTTCCCAGTTGCATGTGTTTGTGTTTGGCAATTTGAATGCAATGAATAAAACCCAAAGCCTTGAAATAACTGTTCAACAGCTTTTATTTCTAGTTGAAAGAGACTGCAAAATAGTATTTTGCATGGGAAAAACTGTGGTTTCCCAGTTAACAAAGTTCTTGATGCTCAAGTAATTGTTTTGTAGAGAGAGATTTCTCAAATAGCACCCACAGGAAGAACGAGAAATCTGAGTGTGAAACTGCCTGGACAGTCATTGTCTTCTTAAGCAAGGGTTGTGTGTAGCCCTTCAAGCTGGGCTTGAAGGTAGAGAGGGTAGAGACCACTGAAAATGAAAAAGTGGGAAAGAGCGGGCTTTGAATATCGGGGCCGCTGAAATGGAAAATGGTAAAGAGGGTGGGATGTAAGGTAGAGGCTGCTGGAAATGAAAAGTGGGAAAATAGGCTGAATAGGACTCAGTCAAGGCTTTTAAGATCTCTGGAACTTCTGGTTGTACCTTGCTGATTATTTCCATTGCTACAGCAAAGTAAGGAAGCCCCACATGCCACAATAACTAACAAGTTATATTATAGCACCTAGCACTCTCCTGAACTCACTTTCTTTATTGAATGTAAAGTCTGATCAATCATGTTATTCAAATTAGAAACCATTCTATACAATGTATATACCATCAATAGTTTCATTAAAGTATTTTGGCTTTTTATTTTTTATTTTATTTTTATTTTTATATTTTGGCAATATTACTTTTTACTATTTCTCTATTCCATTCTGCCATCCATTTACACAGACTTAAGTAGGTTACATGCTGTTTCCCTCTGCTGCCTTCAATATCTCCTGAGAGTGTCAAATTTTCCAAGCCCTCTTTCCTCTTAATGTATCCCAAAATTTTTAACTGTCTCTTATATACAAGTGTCCATTTAGTTTCTATTTTCCTTAAAACTTCCTCATTGCTTACATGATCCATTCATGGTATTCTCATGGTCCTTTTGTAGAACCACATTTCTATTGCCTCAAATATTCTCTTCATCTGCGAGGAAATTGTTTAGCATTTACTGTCTTTTTTTATATATATATATATATATATATATATATATATATATAAAATTAATGAGAACAAAAATAATATAAATTCTAACATTCACAACATTAATTCAAATGAGGGCTCAATACCAAGAGTAGAGCAATAATTATTTATTATAATTTTTACATATAGGCAAAAACAATTTACTCACTACAAAGATGCAACCTTGTTTTGGTGCATTTAGTTGCACCTCGACTGGTGAGCAAGGCTACATCTTTGTTGTGAGTAAATAGTTTTTGTCTGCATGCAAAAATTATAGTATATATATAATTTTTACATATAGACAAAACAAATTACTTTTGAGGTGCATGCGCATGGAAATAAAAATGCATCTTTGTCATGAGTAATTTGTTTTGCCCGTATATAAAAATTATTATATATTGTGGGCACATGGCAGAGTGGTTAGAACGTTTGCATTCTGACCATGAGACCTGAGTTCAAATCTCACTATGATAAATTTGGCAGTAAGGAGACTTCCTGATGTTATCAGACTGGAAGGGTTGATCTCAGCCTGTGGCACCTTTTGGAAAGTGTCTGGAAACTTGAGTGAAATTGGGTACTACAAAGTCACAAGTCATCATGGCTGAAAACTTGAGCATGCTGGCCTTGTTCAAATTGGTGATCATGCTAGATAACACGCTCTTTCTCAGAAACTGTAACTATGGTCTGCTCAGCATAGTTGCAGTATAAACCACAGGTGGGCTCTGTGGGTGTTTATTCAACACAAATATGCTTGAGCAAGTGTCTGCAATAGGGATTGGCTAGCCACCCTAGTAGACAGGTATCCTCAAATACAAGTGGCCAGCTATATATATATATATATATATATATATATATATATATATATATATATAAAATTTATAATTATTTTTTAAAAATATGATTCCATCGCTACATAAGAGTTCTCATGTTTCAAAAACAAAAGCTAAAAAACAGCACTTTCCTATTTTTCTATATTTGCACATATATAAAACATGGCAGTTCAGCACTCTTTCTTAGTTTTGAATGGAATCTTCCAGTTTCTTAATATTTTTAGTTTCTGGAAAGCATCTTTTGCTATTCCAATATGGTTCAAATTTCTGTATCAGATTTTCTGTCACCTGTCAAAACATTTCCCAGGTATTTAAATTTCTGTATTTGTTTGATTTTGACCTCTCCAATTTGTAGTTTGCATCTTGGATATATTTGGCTTATAAATGTTAATATGGAGTTATTTAGGATTAGTATTGAAATAATGAAATTATTTTGTTCAAAATGTTGAAGACATACAGTTGAAGAAAGTGAAATTAATAGCAAAAACTACAGAAAATATGGCATGTCAATTTTCTATCCTTGCTTTTAAAAGGGGATGTGCTATGTCTTATATTCAGAAATAGATAAGGTTGTTCACAGGTAGAATAAGTTGAAAGAGGTTTCTGTAGCTTATAACAAGGTGGATAGAGGGTGAAATAGATTGGGGAGGGGAAATAAATTTTAATGGGATCATTATATCGACTGGATTTACTGGAGAAGGGTTGGAAAGAATGGTTAGCCACATTTGTGACTTTTCTCACTGATTACATTTTGGTAGGGTTGCAGCAGTAATGATAAGTAAAAGATATTCTTAAAATGACATTGTTCATGTACGTTTACTTTACTTTTTTTTTTTTCTCTTGTTTAATATTGTAGCATCACCCATGATCTGTCAAGTGGGAAGAAAGGAACTATTCAATTCTCAAAGGGTGACATTTATGCTGTGAAGAAAAATAAAGCCGGAACTCTCATTGTGGTAAGTTTTTACTTATTACTACTATTGTTATATTTGATATTTATTTTTGATTTAAAGGAAAACATAAATTATTTGTTGTATAGAAATAATTTCCAGATTTTATTAGAAAAAATGTACAAGTAATTTTTTTTGCTTTTTTGAGAATGTTTTTAAATTTTTAATTATTTTAATATTGTCAGAACCTGATATTCTGTTAATCTTAATTCTGCATTTTAGGAAAAAAAAAACACCATTTGTTGCCATAGCTATTAATGTGTAGTCTGTCAGAGTTATCCCCTCCTTGATTCCCTAATTGTTCACTAGGGAGCGCTCCCCCTACACTATAAATTGCCTCGTTCTTTTTTTTTTTTTTACTTTGCATTTCAGCAGACACATTTACAAAATGTGATCTCTTGCAGAGATTTGCATTTTGCCCAATGTGGGGAAAACGCCATGAAATACACATACACGTACATACAAACATTCACTAAAAGAACAACTCTTTACATTCACACACAAATGTTAATGTCTATGTCCCTTGTAAATTTTGTTGTTTAATACATATATTTGTTGATATATATTGGTCTTGTTTGTTTTCTTTACATCTTCGGTTGGTCTCAACTTGAGTCCACCATGTTCTTGTAGTTGGAACTTTTTCTAGTAGGAATAAATGCACGTGTTCTCAATTTAACAACACACTAACTTGTGGTCCTCTACAAGTCAAAAATCTTGAAGGAAATAAATAGGAATCAAGGTCAAGAAAATAATACTTCCTGAATTACTTCCCTTTATCTCGACTTGTTCATTAGATTTGACTTAATGTTCTACAACCTTGTACAAATTGAAGCCCAAACTTCTTTTAGGTCAAATTATCAAATTATTGGATTATTTTTTACCAAAGAGGTGTTAACTTTTCTTAAAACAAATAAATTGTATAATTCAAAATGAAGTGTGTATATATATATATATATATATATATATATATATATATATATATATATATATATATATATATATAATTTTTTTTTTTTCCTGGTTAAAACAAACTACATACACGTCCTGGGTTAGACAATAAACTACATCCAACAGCAAGGCCTCTGATCAGGAGGTTTTGAGGAGTATGGAACCACCTTTTAATTGCTGGTGTTCCCAGGTCCACCAGCTATGGGCAAATAGTTAACCCCCAATCTGAGGTCAAAGCACTATGAAAGTGTAAAAATAGGTTTTAATACCAGCAATACATTTTTGGAAAGACAAAAATATTAGCAACAATACATTTTAAAAAAAAAATGTATTACCAGCAATAAAAATCTTGTTGACATTGTTGTAACCTAGGGAAGGTTACTGAATAGAATAATCAAATGAAGGTTGACAATGAACGATAATACTTAGGACAAGAACAACGTATAAAAGACTTGTCAGCGGCGTGCAGAAGTAGTCAACTGCTAGAAGTGAGACAAGTGAATTCCACAATGAATCTCCAACTGCAGGTTATCTACCAACTGCCCCATGTGGTCAGATGTGATACAAGGTCAAATTTAATGTGGGCTATCCAAGCCTGTAGGCTCGGCCAAAAATTCCTCATAGACCCCCATATAAAACTGGGTCGGGTAGCTGTTTCCCAAGACGAGACTCTGCCCTTCAACATAGCCTCATCTGGGGATCTTCTCTGGCTGTAGGCAGAGAACTTAGCCAGCACAGCAACAAATCTGCAGCTGCAGACCAACATACAGTATTTACTATTGTATTTATGCTAGAATACATTAAATAACCCATTGAGGTTGATATGCTGTAAAACAAACCAAACCAAAACCTTTTCTGAGGTAAAAATTAATTCAAATTGCTCAGTACCCTGCAAATAGGTATAAAATGCTGATACATTAGATCCAGTGACTAGACCCAAAGATCAATACCAGGCTACAGCAGTGGTGAACTGAAAAACTTGGAGAGTTAAAGGGAAATAACTAAGACATCTGGAGGAGGCATGGCTTGTGGAAATAGAACAAACAACACTCCATCCCCGAGTGGACGAAATAAAGGGTTCACTTCAAAATTTCAATCACCTAAAGAAGGCCGGAGTGTACAATGGCCAAAATGTTGTGAATATATCAATGAAGATGAGAATAACAGTTTGAATAATTTAAATAGAAATTAATAATTTACTTTCTTTCATGTTCAGGGTCCCAACACTATATCTTAATTTTGGTACAAGCAACCTTGTTTTAACATTTTTTTTTCATATATGAGGTAAGGATATCATAGGTAGTATGTTTTTTTTCTTTTTTTTTGGTTTTTTAAAACTGACCCAAAAATCAACAGTAGAAATTCTAAAAGGAAAATGAAATAAAACAAAAAAATCAAAAATATTAATTTTTTTTTTTTTTTTTTTTTTTTTTTAAAAAAAAAAAAAAAAAAAGTGGTTCTGGTGTCCAATGATCTCATAAGCAATCCAACTCCCAATAACCCTCATAGAAAAGAAATTGGAAAATGATTCACTGTAGGGTTATGTGGACCTTGCAGACATACCACCATAACCCCTTCATATGGGAGCCAACATGTTAAGATACAAAATATCTTTTTCAGAGAAATAAAAATTGGATAAAATTCACAAAAAGGGAAAATGTTTTGAACAGCCTGATTAATCTATTCAACCTTTTGTAAATTTTGGGATGATGCTAAAATCAGATTTAAATTTTAATTTTCTTCATTCATTTCTGACCTAATATTTTTTTTTTCTTTTTCCAGACTGCTCCACCATTATAAAATGACACATAAACCCAGATTTATAGAAAGGATTCAAGATATTTATTCATCACCTTGCAGCCAAAAGAGATGGCCTCTCCTGGTACCAGCTCTCCAGAATTCCCATCTGCTTTGGGTAACAGGAACAAAAGAATTAATAAAATCTTAAAATATATTAAAATGGACAATTAAACAAAAGCTAATCTGCCTTCAACAATTTGTGCCATGTGTTGCTCTCTCCCAGTCCCTATTCTCTATTTTTTCTCTCACCTTCCCAACTTTTTTCTGTCCTGCAGTTTGAATGATTGACTAATAAACCAGCCATTAAGACTAATATCCTCATCTTTTATTTATTTATTTTTTTTTTTTTGATAAGCATAACATTAGGAATCGGTTTTAATTTTTCTTCACTTAAACAGATTTCATTTTGGAGAAATCTGATACACTACCATAGGTTAATATGAGATTCATGCAATCAAGTGCGACTGGTTATTGTTAAATTTATGAACCAAAAAAAGGGCAATCATGTTTTTTTTTTTTTGTTTTTTTTATATTAAATTTATGTTCTTTGTTTCATTGAATGTGACAGACAAGGAAAGACTTATAATTTTTTTTCTTGTTTTCTAATCTTCTTACATTATTGGGATAATAATCATTACAAGTAGTTCCTGCACTCTCTTACACCCCACAAAAGGAAAACTGCAAGAACAAAAATTTGATAAATAAACTCATAAGATTTTCCTTGTCTATTACTTTCAATGAAACATGCCTAAAGACATGGTTGCTGCCCAAATATACAATATATGTAACTAGCTAATTGAATGAATGCTTTCAGGGTCAAACCTTGTTGAAGAAACAAGTAAAATCTTGTATGCTAGTTGATAAAATGCCATAATGGATAAAAAAAAATGTTGACACTATTGGCCTAACAGGAAATCCAAAAGTAAAAGTAGAGAAAAAAAAATTTGCTTCAGGTTTTGTGTTTGAGCTGAAACATTCCAGATTTATCATTTATTTTTGACTTTTTACTTATGCTAGCCATTTTTTCTCCAGTCTTGCATAGTTTTGGTACAGAGAAATGCAACTGGTTTAGTGAATTAAACCCAGCTTTGTAATCTACTAAAATAACCATAATGTTCCATACTAAAAACAGAAATGATAAAAATTTAGTTGGACTTGATGAATGTTAAATGTTTCCTCTCATAAGATTTAGGAAAACATTTGGACATAAGATTTGGAACTAACGCCACTGTACACTTTATTTGAAATTGGTGAGATGATATATTAAGAGAAAAAGGTTGTAGTCTGAATAACTTCATGACCAATCTTCTTTTCATATCATTTCAAAATATTAGGGATTAGTTTAACACTGGGATAAAATTAATTTCTTGTCCACCTTTTTGGTAATTTTTTTTTTTTTTTTTTTTGCTAATCTTTAAGAATTTCAAATCAAACTGGTAAAAAGATGAATAAAGCAAAGATGAGGAAAGAGGAACAAATTCGTGAACACTAATCATTCTTCAGTTTTAGATTGTCTTCCGGATCAGAATAAAGTTGGTGAACAGCTCAATGCATTAACAAAACTAAACATTTCATGGCTATAGAAAAATGTGGTTACCTTATTTTCCCAAATATTAACTGATAATTCTTCCATCTATGATCTTCAGTTGTAGCAAAAAAAATCAAAGAAAAGAGGAGGACCAATGCTTGGGACCAGATAGTTCTCTTTTGTTGTGGCTTGAAAATGACTGTCTTTTGTCTATTATCATTGCTACAACACCTTACTTGATCATCTAGAATCTCAATCCACTAACACTCTTAACAGTCCTACAGCATATATTTTACTTTACATAGACAGAAAAAGCCCACCAGTCTGTATGACTGCCCCACCCATGTGCGCGCACACACACACACACACAACTTTGACTAAGCTCCCTCCAACCAACAGCCCAAATGAGTAAAGAAAAAAAAAACTAACATTACACATTTTGGAATTTATATACTAATTAGAAAAAAATTAAATTGCATTTTTATATATATATATATATATATATATAGTGCTAATGCATTTATTGCTCATTTTTTCTTTGTTTTTTAAAGTTGAAATGTACATGTATAATAATAAAGTAATGATGATAATTGATAAAAGCAAATTTATATATTTATGAATAAATTATAAATAAATGTCTTATATATTTTAATGTAGCCTTATTTTTAAAAATTCTTTTGATAGATTTCAGTTCATATAACATTTTTTCTGAAAATTGTGATGCTTTTATATTAACATTACATTTTACTTGTCTTCTCAGAATGTCCAGATTTCCAAAAAGAATTAAATTTTACATCCAATGTATTAAAAATAAATCTCATTATAAAGGGCAATCATTTAAATTTTACTTTACAAATTAAAAAATAAAATAAAATGCTTGTTTATTGCTTTTCTTTTGACTGTTTTCTTTTAACTTATTTTCTTAAATATTTCTGTTATTATTATTATTATTACTACTACTACTATAATGTGATTTTGATATCGAGGAAAACAAATTTAGACAAAAAGAAATAGAGAATAATTCCTTTTAGTTTTACAATACTCTATCATAACACAATTTTTTATATTCCATTGATTGCCAACTGTAGAGACATGGTAAATAAATTCTTAGATTACTTACATATTTGGTTCTGTACTAAAATACTCTTATTTAATAATAGCAGTAGAGCTACCTGCCAAAAAAAAGTGAAGTTTTGTTGAAATCGGTTGAAAAATGTAGGAAATCCGATCCCATTGAACACACACACACACACACACATGCAAACAATCTGGGTTTTTATAATAAGTATAACTCGATATGAGTTGTCCCCCTTTCGTTCTGGCGACAGAATTGTGTTTTATTGTGTTTTCAAATTGATTTTGTGCAAAAACAATTTTTTCCCATTTTTGGTGCTGTCAGAACCACCGCAAGGTAATTTTACGTAGTCCTGTGAAGGTTTGTTGAAATCGGTTGAAAAATGTAGGAAATCCGATCCAATATATAAACATACAGACTCACACACAACCTGGGTTTTATAATAAGTAAGATCTATATTACCGTATTTGATGGCATACAAGGCGCACTTTTTTTTTTTTTTTAATAAAAATATCTTAAAATTCCTCTGTGTCTTATATGCCATATGCAGGTTTAAAATTCACAATAGTAGTCCGAAATTAGTTTGACACCCACCCCCACACCAAAAAAAGGGGTCATTAATACAATATCCTGAGGAAAGTCAGTGGATTCAATGTCCCAGAAATGGTGGGAAAATAGATTAAAGAATCTATGTATAATGTATATTATTTTTGTCTGAAAAATAAAATCTAAAAGAATTCATTAAAAACTACTTCCTAGTTAATACTGAAGGTTTTAAAATATTTCAAGCAAAATGTTTTAAGCTTTTTTAATGGCAGTTGTAAAACATTTTTGTCAAATTTGAAAGTCACAAAGGCCTCCACGAACATCTAAGCTTTTTTGTTTTTTTTAAACCTGAATTTTGATCTGTATGATTAGCAATTACTACTACTTCAATCCTAAAGAGATTTAAAAAAAAAAAAAAATTCAGGATTCCAGAATATTGAAAAAAAAAAGCTATTTTATTTAATATTTTACAGTTTTAAAAAATTATTTGATATTGTTGAAATAAGTAATATACATGCAATATAAGTGAGCATTGTCAGGTTTAAAAATAAAATTAAAAAAAAAAAAACATTAAAAATTAAGTTTGCTAACATAATTTTTTGTGTGAAATAACAAATGTCTACTTATAAAGAAAAGAAAAAAAAAAATTTCCCACTACTTGATGCAAGATATCACGCAACATGCCTGAACAGTTTTACACTCCAGTGATTAAAAGCTTTGATGTGTTATATATATCTTCAAGTAAATAATTCTTTACATTTTATTTGTTTGACTTGCAATCATTTTTTGTATATTAGCAACATTTCTGCTTCTTTTCAAATCATTTTGTTTGCCACCTTGGATAAACATCAATAATAAACTTTAACTTATTAACAAAAGATTGCCTCAATGCTATAATACCTGATAACAAAAAGTTCCTTTACAAAACTAGCATTTCAATCACTAATATTATTAGTAACTTAAATTGTAATGGAACAAAGGTAGTAGATACACACACTGGGTTAAATTCAACAATGTCTGTTTAATTTTTTTTTTTATTTCATTTTTCCAATTTTCAAGTAAGATTGTATAATGGGATCAAAATTGTGGATAAACTGTTGTCTATATTAAAGTACTTTTGACCATCTCAGTCATTATCAAGAACCATGTGCTGGGAGTTTAGTAGGTAAGATTCCATTGGTTACATATTGGTATTTTATGGAGAGCTGGGAGTTTTGAATCCATCCAAAGTGACATAGTGTGTAATGGTTAAAGGAAGTGAGACAACACCAAAAAGACAGATCATTTAAAGTACTTGAACAAAAAACTGCATAACAAAATGAACTTCAGACAGTTTATCAACAATTTTGATCCCAATATACAACATCTTATTCAAAAACTGGAAAATACAATAAAATATTAAACAGATAAACCTTGTGAATTTAATCAAACTTGTTTGGCTGAATACTGTCTAAATAACCATTCCTTATATATATATATATATATATATATAATTTTAAAAATCACGTCAGTTGAATCCATTACCCTGGTTTCAACCTTACAGTATCCTCAGGCGGTTTTTTTTTTTTTTATCAAATGACCTCTTAACACTTTTTTTTTTTTTTTTTTTTTTTTTTTAAAAAAAAGACTAATGAATACTATGTTATTATTTTCAAAAATAAACAAATACATAACCTTGGACGTAATTTAACTGATCTCCTAATTTTTAAAGTTAAAAACTCTACATATTATTTTTACTTTATTTTTTCATGTCTATTCAGCACTTTTTAATACTACTGTTTCTTGGTCTGATTGAATTCTGACCATTAACCTTTTATGTATTGTGTGTGTGTGTGTGTGTATATATATATA